CAATTCAACAAGTAATAAACAGCTCGCACAAGGGAAACAAACCAACAATACAAACAACTGTAGGGCTTAAACGAAGAACGTGAGAGTCATAACCAGACTTACGAACATTTGTAGTACTGTCATACGAACAATAACCAATAACCGAAGCAGATCTGAAACCAACAAATTGAACACCGACCATAATCAAAAACTTCGAACACTAACTCGCCGGATGAACAGTAACCCCGTCGGATGAACAGTTTTTTTTTTTTTAAATAAAGAAAAAGAGTAGGCAAAGAAAAAAATGGTTTGAACAAATTTTATAGAATTAATCTCCCATAACCTTGCCCTGATACCATGTTGAAATAAAAGAATAAGAAAGCTTAACTATTGTGTTAGCCTCTCACACTATTTATAATAAAAACTTAGGAAACCCTAGGTATTACAAAAAAGCCTTAAATACCCTTTTAACACCTACTAATGTTAATACCAAAGACTTAAATACCCTTTAACAATGCCTAAAACCAAAATCCATCTAGAATTATTGAGTAGGCTAAACTTACCATTAGTCGAAGCATATCTCAGTTTAAGATTCATCAGGAGAGCAATTGTCGATGCTCATGGACCCAAACTTGGGCACCAATATTACTGATCATGTGGCAGTTGTTACTGAAGAAAAGAAAAAAAAAAACTTGAAACATGCAAACATAACCAACTCTCTGTTGCTTCAGAGGGTAAAATTTGAATGCATAAATGCACATAAAGTACATGTACACAACACAAAAACATAGCCTGTAACTTTGCCAAGTAAAATAATGCAAGGTAAAGCAAGAAAAGAACAAATTACAGCTGAAAGTTTAAAAATAAATAATTAAAAAAAATGAAGTGGTCTAAGCAAGAGGCAACCCAGCTTAGCATATAAATGCCTCTTATATACCTCGAATCCTGTCACTGGATATGGATTTATTGAAACAGCTTAATAATTATTACTAGGCCAGTTGGAGCAAGAGAGACCAAAGATAAGGAGTTTTTACATCATTCATGGACAATGTGGAGAAAATCACAATGTATCATGCAAAGGTCAAATAAATTTGGCTAGATCCACATCCCTTTCACAACTCAACTAACATTATGCCAATTGATTGACATTTTATTATTCTTAATGCACATATATTTCCTCGACCAACAAAGACATCTCTTTCATGGACAAAACTTTAGGATACAATGCAGGATCATGTATTACCTCCAGATTTGGGATGCATACCAGTATATCCAATTTGCATTTACAAACACAATTTTACATAGCTACATAAACACCATTACTATATAGTGCGTAATCCTCAAAGTCAAACATCTCGCAATAAAATTTCTTATTTGAGTGATTGTAGCTATTCAAAAAATTTAACCAAATCATAATTATTTGAGCGATTATAGTTGTTCCTGAGTCCAACTCAAAGACATGGAATTCATCTATTAGTGATAATATAATCTCAATTGCTAAAACGAGATAGTTAGAGATATAAACTAGAAATGGAAAATCCATAAGAATGGATCGATTACAGTATATAAAATCAAAGAAATATAAATAAAACAAATTCACATATTTTGATAGAATATGAGGCTTTTTTAGCTCAATTTCAAGCTCCATCATAGTAGTGGCTTTGGCTTGACCTAATAACGGAAGCCAAAGCCCTAATAGCCGCCACGGCCTCTGCCAAATCTGGCTGTTTTCGCCAGTTATTAAACTCATCCACCACACTAATACCGTTTCCAGATTCTTCCCCGCCGGCAGACTTCGAGGATGATTTATCCGATACGGCATCTTGGGGATGACAACCAACAACAGCTTGAGCTTGAGCCAGCCAATCACTAGTGATGACGGCATGGTGAGTAGCGTGAGTCTGGTGATAAAGAGAGATTTGAGGGTCAGGTTTTTGTTGGGATTGAGGATTTTCTGTGGCCATGGTGGCGGAGGATGACGTGGCGGGAGACAGAGGGCTGCCTAGCCTTTAATACGGTGCCGTTTCGTTGTTTATCTAGAATGAAAGATGCCGATATATACCACATTTACTTACACTTAAGATATTTTGAGGGGTTTAATGTTTATTTTTTAATAATTAGCTTTTAAATTGGAATCAGAATATGTGATTATGGGTGAAAATGAAATCTCCTATGGTTTGAGATTCTGACGGCATCGAAGAAAACGAGAAGAGTAATGTCATTTGCAATCACTAATTATTGTAATCGTCCTACATCACATGCACGCGACGATTAGTGATTTGATACATTAATATGGTAGTTTTTTATTGTCTCATGCATCAAATCGTTAACTGCCATATATATGCCACGTAAGACGACTAAAAGACTGCAAATAGCATTATTCAAACAGAAAATGCGAAATAGATTGTGATCGCTAATTACATGCAACTAATTCGAGTTAAATGTTTCATTGGTCACCAAACTTTTATTCATGACACGGCTTACTCAATGAACTTCATCCAGCGTCCCGTTAGCCCCTAAACTTCGCTTTTTCCCACCCCATTAGCCACCAGATGAAATTCGTTAATAGATTTCCTTACACGTATGACGGTAAAATGACGTGTCTAGTTAAATCACTCCAATTGACAAGTGAAGTGCCAAATCACGGCCACATCATCAATTCATTTGCCAAACACACCTTTCCCACCTATGTGAAACACAACATTAACCACTTGAAAACCCAAAGCATGAAATCAATTTCTTCCAAATTGAATCCTCCATCATGCGAAGTCTGAAGTCCTTGAACCCTAACTACTAAATCAAGATCATCCTTAAAACCAACTTGCCCATCCTCTATCATGCGAAGTCTGAAGTCCCTGAACGCGATGCTTTTTGCTTTTCATCTTGCTGCACTTAGTGTGAACCATTGAAAATGAGTGTCATGAAGAGAAGAGTTTAATGGAGCCATGAATTAGTCTAACAATTTCATTGAAGAACACTGTATGCTTGATGTTTAAGAGATATAAATGGTTCCATTTGTTTAAGGGAGGGTTTGAATTTATTTTGTTTGTAATAATTAGTTTATGCTTGATGTTTGTATTTCAAGTGGATAAATGGATGGTTCCACTCACTTTCAGAGAAGGAAATTGCTCGAGGCATTTTTTTCTTGTTCATATTTTGATGAATTCCCCACCACTTAAACACCGGATTTTGATCAATTTTGTGTGCAGAATTTGTATGATCTTGATCCTGTGGATTGCTTTTGGAGCTCTGTGATTGGTCAGCCTCTTGATGTTGGGTTGAACAAAGTTTAGTAATTACTCTTCAAAAGAGAATGCATGCGTTCATGTTGCTTAATTTTGGTTATTCTATACTTTAGTCCCTTCAAACTGGCCACTAGGTAACAACCTCTTTTCAAGACCAGAATTTATACTCACATAGATAGGTGCCCCCAGCCGAGTGATATCGCTTATTGTGTACTAAATATTTAATTGTAGTATATAGCGGCATTTTAAACATCAAAACATAAAATGAATAATGTATGTCACAAGACAGTAAAAGCATGTTTCGGAATCCACTTTAATTGTGGATGAACTAAAAGCATGATTTCATCCTACTCTTACTGATCTCAAGGAGTGTCTCAGCTTACTAGAGAGAGAAACAGTTCTGCTAAGCTTAGATTCATTAGTAATTTAGAACACATAGGAACATGAAATTATCAAATTCGCATAATTTCCAAGCAATTACAGTGCTTGAAACATGTAAACCATTTACTAGAGAGCGAATAACTTTAAAAAGAAAATGGTAAGATATGAGCATATTTTGGGTCTTTTACGATATCAACACTAGCTAAACAACAAGTTTGGTGACAGAGCTACAATGAATGTAATTTACAAGCACTTAGCTCTAGCAATCAATTTTCTTGACTAATCTTAGTACCTAACTTTTCCTTGATGACATAAAATGCAGCAACTATCGGTTAGTATTTTCAAGAGATTCGAGACAGAGAACAAAAATAGAATTGATATTAAAAAAATTACGCCCCTAAAAATTCAAATTATTATACACATCCAAAATCAATCAATGGGAGCGGAATAAATCAAACTATTGGAAATGAAGGAACATAAACGGAGAGACAAAAATGAAGGCAACTTGTTTCAAAATTACCTTTAGCTGGTCCATTCACGTGCACACAATCAAGAATGATCAACCTTGACGGATGGGCAGGTTGGTTTAAGGATGATCTTGATTTGGGGATTAGGGTTCAGGGACTTCAAACTTCGTGTGATAGAAATGGGCAGGTTGGTCTAAGGATGATCTTGATTTGGGGATTAGGGTTCAGGTACTTCAAACTTCGCGTGATAAGAGGATTCGATTTGGAAGAAATCTATTTCAGGCTTTGGGTTTTCTATTGGGTTAATGTCGTGTTTCATGTGGGCGGGAAAGGCGTGTTGCGCAAATGAATTGATGAAGTGACAGTGATTTGGCACTTAACTTGACATTTAGAGCGATTTGATTGGACACGCCATTTACTGTCATCCATGGCCGGACTTGGGGGTGGCCTAGCAATTTGATTGGACACGCCATTTACCGTCATCCATGGGCGAACCTGGGGGTGGTGCCCCCTAAATTTTGAAGTTTATATTTTTTATTAGGGCTTGTGTGGGAGGGATTAAAATCAAATTAAAATTGAAAATATAGCCGTTATTGTTGACTTTTATTAGACGAGTGGGGTCCAATAACGGCCATATTTTCAATTTTAATTGGCTTTTAATCCCTCCCGAACGGGGTCTTAATAT